GCCAAGGCCTTTCCAGCTGTGTGTGCGCATGCGCTGAGAACCAGGGGCCTGCTCGGTCCCGCTTCCCGTTGGTTTCCCTGTCGTGGGCCTCCATGCGTGTCTCTATCACATTCCCTAGACACTGGGCCTGCCACGTATCTGTCCTTTACCCCTCCTATCTTAAGCCTGTCTTCGAGGAAAGAATAACAGGGCCAAGCGGAAATGCATGTCTTGTACCCACAGAACCTATTCTGTAATGTATTCATTTCCAGGCTTTTTGTATCGCTTCCTAATAAATGTCTTCACAATAGATTTGTACCTGACTTGGCTGAATTCATAGAAGAGGAAAAACCCTTTGTGGCAGCGGTTCTCAATCTGGGGGCTGAACGACCCTTTCCTTTCACAAGGGTCGCCTAAGATCCATCCATCCGCCTATCAAATATTTAGATTACAATTCGTAACAGTAGCAAGATTACAGTTATAAAGCAGCACTGAAGATAATTTTATGGCTGGGGTTACCACAACATGACTGTGTTAAAGGACCTCAGCGTTAGGAAGGTTGAAAATTGCCGCTTTGTGCTGAGGAAGAGGAGGTCTGGAGACACAGCTCTCCTTAAGCCTCACCCATCCTAAGCTCTGCCTACCCTAAACCGCTCCTGGAGTCATGGATTACAAAATCAAAGACTCGTCTGGGCTACAGATTGAGTTCAAAGCCAGCTCAACTAGACCTTGTCTCTCAGTTAAGTTTTTGAAAGTGTTGAAGATATAGCCCACATGGGTGAGGCCCTTGGTCTGGTCTCCAGTACAACAAACAAAAGGGGTGAGGGTAATGTTTTCTGAAGACCTGCTGAAAGCAAAGGATATGGGGTCCTAAGAATAGAGAGGCGGAGAAACCAAGGAAGAGGGCAAAGGCTACCAGGAGAGATACTAAGCAAGGGGCCTGTGGGATTGGAGCCAGAGAACCTGAGAGACTGAGGAGCAATTACAATTGCTTACACAGTGCTTCCTAAGGAAACGGTTCTAGGTGCCGCCTTTAAGCCTCACTATGGAACAAAGAAGTGTTGTTATTACCTGTTCACACACCGAACTGAGACTCAGAAAGGTCAGGTGGTTTGCCCCAGATCACGGCGTCAGAAATGAGTAGAGCTGGGTCTGAACACTGAGGCAATGGCCACAGAGATCACTGCTCTAACCACTGCCTTTGAATAAACCAGAGAGGGTGCAGAGAGACAGAAGGAAACACTGTCAACCATGGGTGAGAGTAGAGAGACTCAAAACAAAACAAACAGGGGCTGGAGAACTGGCTCAGCAGGTAAGAGCACTTGCTGCTCTTCCAAATGATACCGGTTCAAGTCCCAGTACTCATGTGGTGACTCAGTTATTCACTCTGGTTCCAGGGGATCTAACACTCTCTTCAGGCCTCCACAGGCACTAGCCATGTATGTGGTACCCAGGCATAAACCAGGGCAAGACAACCATATACATAATAAAGTTTTTGTTTGGTTGGGGTTTTGTTGTTGTTGTTTGTTTTGGTTTTTGGGTTTTTTTGTTTGTTTGTTTTTTCCAGACAAGGTCTCACTGTGTAGCCCTGCCAGTCCTGGATGGAACACACTCTCTAGACCAGGCTGGCCCCCAAATGACAGAGATCCACCTGCCTCCTCTTCCTGAGTTCTGGGATTAAAGGCATGCGCCATTATGCCCCACAAAGATTTTTTAAAAAGAAGACAGAAAGGGAGAGAACACCAAATATGTGGGTAGAGGAGTAAAGAGCAAAGAAAAAGAAAAGCAGCCGGGCATTGATGGCGCACGCCTTTAATCCCAGCACTCGAGAGGCAGAGGCAGGTGGATCTCTGTGAGTTTGAAACCAGCCTGGTCTACAGAGTGAGTGCCAGGATAGGTTCCAAAGTACACAGAGAAACCCTGTCTCGGAAAAAGAGAGAGAGAGAGAGAGAGAGAGAGAGAGAGAGAGAGAGAGAGAGAGAAAGAAAGAAAGAAAGAAAGAAAGAAAAAGAAGGGCAGACCTGGAAACCCAGGCCCACAATCTCAGATGCTCCAGAGACTGGGGCAGGAGGATCACTAGTCAAAGCCTGCCTGGCTACTGAGTGAGCTCAAGAGCCATCCTGGATAACCTAGTGAGATCTTGTCTCAAAAAGTAAAAGGGCTTGGAAGCTAAGCATAGTTTTTAATCCCAGAACTTGGGAGGTAGAAGCAGGCAGGTAGCTATGAGTTCAAGGCCAGCCTGGTCTACATAGTGAGTCCCAGGTTACATAATCAGACCCTGCCCCACCTCCCAGAAAACAGGGGCTTGAAATGCTGCTCTACAGTACAGAGCTTGCCCAGAATCCCCCAGTGAGGTGCTGGGGGCGTGGCTCAGTGGTAGAGCCCCTGCCTAGAGTCCTCCAGTGAGGGGCTGGGGGTGTGGCTCAGTGTTAGAGCCCCTGCCTAGAGTCCCCCAGTGAGGGGCTGGGGGCGTGACTCAGCGGTAGAGCCCTGCCTAGTATGTGCAATGCTCTAAGTTCAATTCCTAGTACTGGAAACACAAGATAAAGGTAAAGAATAAAGGTAAGAACCATGTGTGGAAGTGTTGAGATGAAGGAAGATAAACTCTCACCCCTCAGCTATACACACACACTCACACACACACACTCACACACACACACTCACACACACACTCACACACACACACTCACACACACTCC